TATATATATATATAGAAAGTATACAAACTGTTATGTATATTTGGCAAAGTTTCTGAAAATGTTATAAATCTAGAAAATATGCGTAATAATTATTGATGTGATTTCTGGTTATTACACACGGCCCGTAATAATTTGTAGAATGTGTGACAGAATTAATAAAGGAAATTTGACAATTTATAATTTGTTAATGTAAAACTGTTGATGTGAATTTGCGTTAGTGTTTTCGAAATATGGTTGATTCGTGAAACTGAGAGTTTGCAAGCTGATGAAAGTGTCATTTGTCATCAGTGAAGGGGAAAGGAGGTTGAATTGATTAACGTAGACAGAAGATTGACATAAATTGACCAAGGTAAACTGGAATTGATTGATTTTCTGGCTTCAGATTTCGTATTTACATAAACTATATACTGTGATAGACTCCGAATTGTGTGCACTTTACTTTCAAACACGAAGATGAAATTTTCACATCTTATTAGTGAATTTAAGTAGTTATGTCAATACATCCAAATGTTAAGGTAGTTTACAAGTCTATAGTAAATAATAATATTAAATAATAAAAATTAAATTATTATTATAGAAATTAAATATACCGAAAAATTACTATATATTTTTTTGATATTATTTGTTATCTACAAATCAATACATGATATTAACAATATTACAGATCATCAACTTTATCAACGTGACACTTTGTTCGAAAAGAGGAACAAACGGAACATCCGTAGCAATTTAATACCGGAGAACGTAATATGTTTCACGAGAGAATGAAGACGTAAGTGAATGTGAAAATGTGACACGACGTTGCTGTCGCGTATAAAAAAATTAATGTTCCCGTTCACAGTTGAACACGAAAACGTGAAAGGATGCATTAAACACATTTAAGAAATGAGTACGAACGTTTGATTGATAAATAACGGTATCAAATGCGAATGTTCTCCATTTCGTTTGAAATGATTCATTTATATAAAACAGCTCGCAGCCATTTCGAAAAAGTTGTTTCGCAATTACTGTCATTGTGAACTCTGAATTCATGAAAAACTTCGAGAATTCTTTTCATTATGAATTTGATGATAGAAACTCTATATGTAGACTATTTCTTCTTACATATCATCATACTGTTGGTTTGTTTAATATCATTTTATTATTAATTTTTGTTAAAAATTTATTCCGAATTTTTTTTATTAATTTCATGTTAATAAGATATTAGATCAATCATTTTTATGGATATCATTATATTACTTTGTTGATTTATTTATTATATGTATGATTTTAATATAGAAAGTAAAAAAAGAAATATTTCCATACAAATTAGCAATAATTGATGGTGTTTAAAATAAAGCATTATGGTGAGAGATACTAGAAAATAGTTTCAAAAGGTTCAAATAATAAATTTGTTGAACTTGAAATTCCGGATGTGATCATTTCAACTTATGTATCTTCAACTTACATAAACATTACGTCAAACTAGCGATAATTTTAAATGAAACATTATCATAGAAATTTCATAGTTATATCTCTACTTCTGATAAAATATGACAGAACGCAAACGAAGAAAAGACATTGTCTTAAATTCTCTCAAAATCATTATTTTCTTAACACATTGCGTGAAAAGTTTTTTCACGTTTAAAACTTACGTGCAAAAAAATTTGATTATTCATTCCTTATGTGTCTCGATAGTACTTTTGATATTGCACATATGTTGATAATAACAAAAGTATCGAACAAGTCTTCAATATATTTAGAGTTTCAATTGCGTTATTCGGTAAAATACTAGTATAATCATTTCTAAATACAGACAATCATACAGATGACGTATGACTAAAATAATTATTTCACCGGAATGAAATTCTGGAATTCCAGACAGAATGAATTTCCTCGAAACTTTCATATCAAACGATGGTATATATCGCGTGCCTTTTATTCAAACATTTTAAAATCAAATTTCGAAACCAACTTGCCCACATAACCCCTGTCCAACGTATAGATAAACATTCTCCCCGAGATGGCACCATCATTTAAGCGTCCTTTGATCAAGCAACCTATAACAGCGGATAAAATCGCGCGCCCCACGGAATAACCGATCGATACTCGAACTTGCGATCGCAATGCGTCGAGCAAACAACCCGGAGGCGGTAGCGTAAATTGAAAAAAAAAAAAAAAAAAAAGAAAAAGAAGAACGAGGAGCCTGAGAGGGAGAGGGTAGTGTAAAATCGTAGGAGAAATTCGAGCAAGACGGCGAAAAAATTAAGGTAACATGGTAGAAAGGGAGAGGAGAGGAGAGGAGTACAATTGGGCGATCGTAAAGGCATGTCGAAACAAGCGAGCGTAAAAAACGGGATGCAATTGGCGTTGGCTTAGAGTAAGTCCTCCTGG